AGGGGGAGGCACAGGAGATGGGAGCCGAGCTGAAGCAGGGGCTGAGACGGGCTGGATGAGGGTGCTTCTGGCTGCCCAGCCTTCTGCCGAGAACCTTTCCTGGGATTAGAGCTGCTGTTCCCAAGGAAAAATGTTGTCTCCCTTGCCCCTCTCGTGGGTCCCATGGTGTGATGCTGTGTCTGTATATTCTATACAAAGGTACTTGTCCTTTCCCTTTGTAAACTACATTTGACATGGATTAAACCAGTACAGACAGCTGCTGCCTGTGTGTATGTGTGTAGGGAGGGGTGGGTGATGGGGTGGTATGGACAGAGGCAGTTAAGGGGTTAATTCCTGGCAGCAGTGTGAAAGGACTTGGCTATGGGTTTGTAAAGCAGTATGGGGTTGGTCTGCTTAGGGGCCAGAGCACTGTCCCGGGTGGGGGTGGGGCTGGGGCTGGGACCTGGACTCCTGACTATTGATGGGTAGGGGCTCCAGGTTAATTCCTTATCGATGCAGAATCGTCAGCTCATTAATCACAGAAGAGGTCAGAGCTTGGGGGTACAGAGGGGATGCATGCTCTATCCCCTAGTCTAGGGCAGGAACAGCTGTAAGCTTGGGTGAAAACACGAACCCCAAACCTCTATCCTTTTCTGGTCCCTTGAAATGAGCCAAGGACCACAAATGGAACCACCATCTCCGTCCCCTGTGGTTTTTTCTGTTCTCCATCTTAGTGACCAACAGCCTTGTATAGCTACTGGCTAGACCAGACGGAAACAGTAAAAACTCCTTTATCCAGAGTAGACCTTCAAGTCAGGGGACTGAGGCTGGGCAGCTAGCCCTGGAGATGGAGCTTTGTCAAATGGTCATCCTCACTGGACACTGCTGGAAGTAGTGTCTGCTCAGTGCTGGTAAGTAAGCAGCATTCCGGGTGCTCAGGCAGGTGCTCAAAGCTGCAGGTGAGTCCTCACCCAACACACAAAGCCGTTTTGAAAAAACAGGATTCTGCTAAAATTAAGACCCCAGAATATCTTCGTAACTCCAGACTCCTTTCCTTCACACATTTGCACACACCAGGCCCACCCTCCATCTTCCCAAATGTTAGACACCCATCTCTTGGATACCACAGCAGTAAATATTACAGAATCGGGTCCAGCTGGCAGCTCCTGTCCCTCCCTGCACCCAGATAAATCACCTTGGTTGGAGTCCAGCGAAGGCCCTTCAGAGCCCCAGGATCCTCGGACCCAAGATTCTAGGGGATGTATGTGGCCTGTCGACATAGGGCAGCCCTGGTGGTGGCTGAGGGTTTGGAAGAAAAGGTAATGCCCAGTTCCCATCGAGCTGGCTCCTTTCGGATTGCCACTGTCCCCTCTCCTTGCCTTAGACTCAGTGGCTGGTTACTTCCACCCTGGGGGCCATATGCTGTCTAATAGGAGACATTAACCCAGAGTGAAGGGTATGAAACTTGCCCGACTCGGATCCTTCAGCTCCCTCGCATGGCAGAGGCAGCACTGCCACCTGTTGGTCATGGCTAGGAATGCAGCCACAGCACAAGAATTGGCTGCCAAGGTAGCAGGGAAGTCCCAGAGGGCAGAGGCAATGTGGGGAGAGCTTGGCTCTGGAGGACAGAGGGTCCATCAGCCCTGAGACTATCAGGGGTCAGCTCCTACCCAGAGCTTCTCCAGCCATCTCCTCTGCTGCCTGTCCAACTTTCAAAGTCTATCCCTGCCCCCCAAGTCCCTTGATCACCACAGTAAGCTCATTCAATCAACAAGTATTTATTGAATACCTACTATGTGCCAGCATTGTGCAGCAGTGATTTGTAAACGACAGCTGATACAGAAATCTAAGGCTGAAGCCACCTCTCTTGCCTGGAGAGGATCTGAGTGGGTCTCCCTCAAGGAAATGAAGTTTGTTTCAGGCAAATGGTGCTCGTTCTGACTCAGCTTATCCCAGCTCTCGTATGGCACTGCCATCTTTCTGCTTCCCACTCCATCTGCCCGTTATACATGCATCTTGCAACTTTCATGGATCCAGTGGCTTCCTGGCACTGTGTGGTGGACCCTGGCAGGCCTCCCACCTCTGCATCCTCTGCTCTCTTCTGGCTTCCACCTCTGACTCCCTGGCAATGAGGAGCCTCTCTGAGTGAACTGCCAAGCGGGATCCATGGGGATGGTGCTCCAGGCTGTGGGGCTTTGCCCTTCTGGGACCTGGGAGCAGAGATCACAATCCAGCCTGACCCTACCCTCTGGCACCTCCCTGTAAAGCTCACCTTCCATTCAAGGAATCAAAGATCAACGCTGGGGCTCATCTGCACCCCCACTAATCTTTTACAGCCTAAACACCACAGAAAGCAGCAAGCCTGATTGCTGCACTTGTCCAAACACAACCACTACAAGGTTCCTGCAGAGCCCGGGCACTCCTGCCTGCTGGGATCCTGGGATGAGCAGAGACCACCACAATCCCCCAGGACAGAGGCTCATGGGAATTCTCTACTTGGAGGACCACAGAGTCCCAGAGGGCGTTGGGGAGTTGAACCAGAAGAGGACGCCACCCATGGATGTAGGTTGTGGGGAGCTGCCAGGCATTTATTTCTGTAACAGAGATGAGGTGGGTAGGGCAAGGAGCTCAGCAGTGGACACAGCTGTGCATAAAGTTGACACAGAGGCTCGTGTAATAAGTAGGGTAATCACGAAGGTGGCTGACATGTGCAGATGACACAAAGTCCACAGAGCGCACTGGGACCCGGTGTGCCAGGCGTGCTTCCACCATGCGCTCCACATCCCTGGCTAGGACCACCTCGTCGGCCCTTGAGTAGAGGTAGAGCTCAGGCCAGCAAGAGGCTGCATCGAGCAGCCTGTCATAGAAGTGGGTGTGGAAGAGGGCAGTGAGTGGAGCGAGCAGGATGTGGAACAGGATTGCCACCAGGGCAAAGGCCACCAGGAGCAGCAGGCGCAGCGCAGCAGGCCGGTGCTCCAGGATGACCGCCAGGGCCCGCAGAGACCCTACCAGATTCCTGTCACCAGGACCGCTGTCAAAGATGGTGCCCACCACACGCAGGTGGCAGAAGCGCCGGTGGGTCTGCAGGAGCTCCAGCACGTATCGGTACAGCATGACGCCGGCGTTGCTGAAGACGTGAAAGAGCAGGGGCTCCTTCTCCACTTCGTAATCAAAGAGCAGCTCAAGGAGCTTCTGGGCCAAGACACGAAGTGAAGGGATGCCCAGGGACTCAGAGAAGAAGACCATGTGCCATGGGGCTGTGTATCGGATCACGATGCAGCCCTGGGGAGAGGAGAGAGGCCTGGTCGGTCCTCAGGGGTGCGGTGGGGAGGTGGAGACAAGCTAAGGGCAGAAGGGCAACAGCTCCAACTTCCATAAACCTGGCAGCACTCCAGGCCCCGCTGCAGCCTGGGCACCAGCTCACCACTCACAAGTCATGGGTGCCTCCCAGAGGCGAAGATTCCTCCATTTGTCGGGTAATCACTTCATGCTGGCCAAGCCCCCTCAGCCTGGGATGGTCTGTGAAGCCTGGAGCCCAGAGCTCATCTGGAGACATCTGGGCTCACCAAAAGGAAGTCTCACTCTGTCCAGTCCACTCCCTGTCTCCCTCCCATCCCAACCTTGCACCGTCATCTGCTCAACTCTGCCACAAGTAAGGCCTCACTGCTTGCCTACACCCTGCTGCAGCGACTCCGCTCTGCACTGTCTCCAAGCAGGTATCCCTCCTGCCCCTGGACCCTTCCCACAAGACCCAACACCCAAGACATAGCCTGCAGGCCCAGCCTTGACCACCAGAGGCCACTCGTGAGCCAGGCCCACAGCATGTCGGTCTCTGGCCACTGCCACCTTCCTGCAGGACCCTGAGAGCAGAGTCCATAATCTCTGGCATCAGGGGCTTGGCACCCAGATGTCTGGTTCCAAGTCCTGGGATCTTTCTTCCCACTGGCCTGGAAATTCCAAATACAGTAAACACTGTTTTTCCTCAAATTCTGAAATCTTCACTGAACTCTAGGCCTTTGTACCCCTCAATGCCTGGGTCAAGTACATCTCAAGAACACCTAGAAGAACCCCTTCTAGGCTAGTTAGAAAAGGCAGCCAAAGCCACCCTGAGTCCTACTCTTCTCTCATTAACATGTGCCAGAGACAAGGGACCCTTTGTCAGGGGAACCTGAATTAGGCCAGCTCAGGGGTCAGACAGTTCCGGCCTCAATTTCTAGCACCACCACTTACTTATTAACAGTGTGGATGGATAAAGAGCAACTTACTTCATCTTTTTGAGTCTGTGTCCCCATCTATAAGTTGGGATGACATCCATCTCATAGGATTATGGTGAAAATTAAATGAAAAATGCGCCCAAAACAGCATTTGGTACAAAGTTCTCAACTGAGAGTAGCAGTAATTAGTGGTGGTAGGGTACTAGCAGGAGGAAATGAAATGGGCACAGTACTTGAATGACCCACAGCCAAACTGGGGTGGTCAGCCGAGGGAACCCTGCCATTAGCTCCCTGACTTCGTCCTCTCCCTCAGACTCCCCTGTGACCTCTGCCCCAACTCCTCCTGGCTCTGCTCTTACCAGGGCCCTAGTGGACCTAAGCACCCCTCCCAAGACTCAGCAGAGTGGGTAACTGATGCCACCTGGCCCCTCAGCTCTGGCAAATTTCACAAAGGGCTCCACTCTAACTCCCCAGTGGGATATGAAATGTCTTTCTACCCTCCCTCCACCTACACGCAGCACTGCCCACGAACACACACACACTCCACGTCACCCCCCCACACATACACACACACAATTCCTTGAACTAAACACAGCCTGTCCACCTCACACCTCTCAGATGCCGATGCCCACGGCACCTACCACTCACTAGGGTACCCACTGCACCATCTGCTAAGTGCACTAAAGACCACATCCACAAGGACACATACCACTGCAGGTACAACCTCCCAGAGTGCATGTATGCACACACATACACACACTCCTCCCCATGGAGTTCCCATGCAGAACCACCTGCTGGTGCAGACATAAACTCAGCAATTCCTGTGAGCTCACCACCTCTGGGGGCCCGGGGCCTCTACCTCCACATCACATGTGAGTGCATCCAAAGAAATCACCTTGTGAACAGCCAGCATTCCCCGTGAAGCTCCTCTGGGCCTCACTTTTTTTTTTTTAACATTTTTTATTGATGTATAATCATTTTACAATGTTGTGTCAAATTCCAGTGTAGAGCACAATTCTTCATTTATACATGAACATATATATATTCATTGTCACATTCTTCCTCTGTGAGCTACCATAAGATCTTGTGTATATTTCCCTGTGCTATACAGTATAATCTTGTTTATCTATTGTACAATTTTGAAATCCCGTCTATTGAGGTTTCCAAGGTGCCTGTTGCCACCTCTGCAGTCAGATGCCCCTAGAAGCCCCTGCGCCAAGGACCAGGGTCTCACTGCCTGGCAGATCCTTGTCTCCTCTCTCTCCCCAGAAGCCAACCATCTCTCCATCTCCGCACATGCCTGGTCCCAGCCTGCTCCGCCCATCCTCGCCTCACTCTCCTGTATTCTCAGTCTCTTTCTCGCTCCAGATTCCTGCTCAAACCAATCTCACTTTTAAAAAATGGGGGGGTATAGCTCAGTGGTAGAGCACATGCTTAGCATGCATGAGGTCATGAGTTCCATCCTCAGTACCTCCATTAAATAAATATATCTAATTACCTCCCTTACCCCTCCAAAAACAAAAAAAAGCCTCTGCCTTTACACCATGTTCCCCGCTAACTCTGTCCCACCCTTTCTTCACCTTCCTAGACAAACACTGGCACCCGCCCTCCCCACCTGATGGCCTCCCGCTGACTCCACTCTGACAGCTGAGCTGCTCTTACCAGGCTCTTTCCAATTCTCCCAAGTGGCCAAATCCCATGACACCTCTCAGTCCCCATCATACTTTCCTCCCAACAGCATTTGGGATCACGCATTCCTAGAAATACTCTCCAGTAGCCCTGGCACCAGATAGTATCCGGGAAAAAATGGACTGTTCTAGATTTAAAAGAGGCTTAAGGGACAAAATAGGTAGGTGCAACAGGTGATCCTGGACTGGATTCTGGTTCAGGAAAATCAGCTATAAAGGAGACTTTGGCACCTATTAGAGACTCTCAATAAGGACTGGCAACTAGATGAGATTAAAAATGTATTAACATGGGACGGTGGAAATCATAGTCTGAAAAATAAAGCAGGGCATAAAATAGTGTACTCAATAGATCTTATTTAGGTAAAAAAAAGAGATGCACACACAGAAAAAAATTGCTAAAAGGATATATATTAACATGGAAATAGAGGTAATATCTAGGTGGTAGAACACAGTACTTTTATTTTCTTTTAAATGATAAAGTATTAGGAGTCCGGAATTAGAAAAATCTTTTCTCCACCCTCATCTTATCCTCCTGACCAGAGGGTAAAGGCACCCTTTCCTTTTCCAGACAAACCCTACCCCCACCAGCCCTGCCACCTCAACCCCTCTGCCTGCCCGGGGGTGACTTCCTCCCCCGACTCCACCGCTTCCTCCCCGTGCCTTCTGCCCCAAGAACATCTTTCCTGTCTCCCCTACAGCAGCCCATTTCCCTAAGACTTCCTGTGGACTCTGTCACACTCCCCTAGGTTTTCTGGTCCATCTGCAGCCACTCCGCGTGGGACCCTCTTCGTCTTCTTTAAGTTTGGGTTCTGTCCTGGGCCTCTTCTCCCTGCCTTCTACACACTCCCTGGGGGCACCTCATCCACCCTAGAGCCCATGGCTTCTCTTCTAGTGCTCCTTGTTTCAAAGAACACACCCGCCTCTACCCAGGATCTGCTGCAGCCAGAAACCTGGCATTACCCTGGTCCCCTCCCTATCCCTGCACCCACACCCAATCTCTCATCAAACTACCACTCTGCCTCCTGATAAGCTTCTTATCCATCAACTTCCCTTCACCGGCACCACTAGCCCCAAGGTCCTGACCACCACCACAAACGCACTTCCTGGCCCGCAGTCCTGGCCCCCCGACACTTTCCCCACCCTGCAGCGAGGGACTTGCAGAAGCACAAGTCAAACGTCACACCCCTGCTTAAATCCCCTCAGGACCCTCCCCAGCCTCATTTCTTTTGACACCTGCCCTTTCTTTCACCCTCTGTTCTAGCCACACTCACCCACTCCTAGTCCTCTGCCTGCCCTCCTGGATCTTCATCTTTGAAGCCAGACAAGCTAGCCTAGCCCAGTGAGTGGAGTTCAGCAGCAGCTGAAACTCCTTAAGGAGTAAGGCAATCTGTAAAAAGCGATGCCAGAGGACCAGGCTTGTCAGCTGAGGGGAGGCCTCAGGCTGAGAACTACACTAGTTCCTCTCCCACTGCAGGGCCACCACACGCCTGGGGCACAGAGCAGACGGGGGTCAGGGGAGGGAGGCTTGGCGGGGGGCACCAGCTGGCCTTTCTCCCAGGTGACTGCCATCCCTCCTGCATCCAGAGCTGGCAGCTGGCAGCTGGCAGCTGGGGGTCTGTACTGACACCTCCCTGCTTTGGGAGTTCTGGGCTGAGGAGGGCAGGGCAGGGCCAGGCCAGTGGCCAAGGCCATGAAAGAGGCTTCCAAGATATAACCACACCCTCCCCAGGCTCTTTCCAATTACCACAACCTCGACATCCAACTCTTGATGCGACCTGAGATGAAGCAAGGGACCCTCAGGCTTGAATCTCTCTTCCAAGAGGCCCTTCTAGTCTGGAAACATGAAGGTGCCAATGTCAACCCTAAGACAGAAACTCACCTGGTCAGAAATGGAGAAAGTCCTACGAGTCCAGACTATGCCCAGCACCCCGGCCCAGGCTCTTGCTGCCCAGAGAGGCAGCACCGGCCAACGAGACCTGAGGTCTGGGCTGACTCCACAGCAGGGAGCACATCTGGGATGGGCTGCCCACTGCGGGGCTTGGGGAGGAAGGAAGAGGAAGCAGGTCGGGGGCTGAAGGGGACAGATCAGGCCACAGAGATGGCAGCCAAGGAGGGTAATCCTACCCAGTCCCCACGGGCCCAGCATCTTCCTCGCAGGCCATTCATAGTGCCAGTCCCAGGCCTGTCACACTGGTGGTAGGTCAGCCGGGAGAGGAGGGCAGCCAAGGCTGGGAGAGCCCCTACAGAGCGGCCCCAGCCAGCTGGCTGTCCTCATGCCTGCAGTACTCACCCTTTTGTGGTAGATGGCGCTGTACTTGGCCAGGTTCTTGTCAGTGCAGCCACCCCAGCCCAAGAGAATCACCAAAGGCTGCCGAGTCCCCGCATCCTTCCCACCTTGGTTGGGGCTGTTCTCTGAAACACAAACAGTGGGACTGTCAGCCCCGACTTGGGGTGAGGGGTGGGGGTGACTGGCCAATCCAGAGCCAGCCCCACGCTGGCCGCAGGCGCCAGGCCCAAGCATCCCACCAGCCCCCGAACCTCAGGTTCCCACCGGGCGCCCTCCCCTGTCGGCTTCAGACAGCTTTTAGGCTTCTCAGGAGGCACTACAGGGTAGCTGCAAAAACCCACGTGAGGGCCCCTTTCTTTAATGATTCCAAGACAGAGCCCAGGTGAGAAAAGTGAATAAATACTTCCTCCATGCAATTTCACCTTCTAATCCAGGGATCAGCAAACTATAAGCCATGGGCCAAACTCCGCCCATGATCTGTTTTCATATGACCTTCAAGCTAAAAATAAAAATGTTTTTTACTTTTTAAAATAGTAAGAAAAAGAAAGAAAAATCAAAAAAAGAATATTTTGTGAAAACCATATGAAATTTAAATTTGAGTATCCACAAATAAAGTTTTATTGGAACACAGCCAAGCTGCTTGCATACTAAAACACCAGAGCTGAGTAGCTGCAACAGGGACCATATGGTTCACAAAGCCTAAGGCACATAGTGGCCCTTTACAGAAAACGTCTGCCAGCTCCTGTTCTAACTCTATGAGCAGATGGAAGAAGAGGGTTTTAAAAGAAGGAACAGATAGGACAGTGTAAGCAGGACAGTGAAGCAGACGGACTCTGAGGGCCCCTATAAACCACCCACCTCATTCCGACAGAGAATAGTAACGGCTAGTATTTACTGAGGTTTAACCCTCACAACAACACTACCAGGAATAGTATTACAGATGAGGAAATTGAGGGGTTAAGGCACAGAGTGGTTAAGTCATTTGCCTCAAGTCACACAGGAAGTATAGAGCTGAGAATCTGGTCCCCGTTCCCCATCCTAACTAAGCCACTTGAGACCTTCTGTGCCACCAGCCCACAACTAGAAGCATGTCCTTCGGTGACGTGCCAGGGCACAAGCCAGCTGCCTCTTCCAGGGCTGCTTTAGGAGGCTTCCCTGCAATCTTGTTGGTTAGACCTCCTCTCATTTCCCCTGCCAAATCAGTACCCACCCCCTGAGGGCGACTTCTGTGCAGGGACCGTCTGTTGCTAGTTATCTGCCCTCTGGAAAGAACCAGGATGTACCCTTCCAAGAATAAAGCCACTTGGCTACGCTCAGCTGCCACCCCAAGATTTATGTATGCTGCTGGTGACCTGGCAACAGTAAATTTCAAGGCTAGTTAAGAGGATGGTAAATATAAATCACTAACCTTTGGACAAAAGGAAGACAACAATTTCCTGTGGAAATTAATGTGATTGAAAAGTTCAATGTTCCTGCTCTCCAGCAGTGGCGACTCTGGCCTTTGGAGATTAACTGCCCGCACCCATGGGGATCCCATGCTGGGTTGCTACTCAGCCTGGAGCAGGAACTGCCAGCACCTCAGTCCCTTGCTGACACCTGCCAGCCCTCCCAGGCTCCCCTGATGCTGGCCTTAGCCTCTGATGAGGGGGACAGTCCCACAGTCTAACTCAGGCCACTCCAAATATTCTCACCACCTTTCTTTGCCTGGTGGCCCCCTGTCCTTGGCCAGGGCAGCTCTTTGCCTGCATTGGCCCTTCTAGTGGAGAGGTTCTATCTGGGATTCACTGGGGCCCCACCTTGCTGGGGGTGACTACCCCTGAAGTTCGGGCCTTGGCTGCCTCATGGGTGGTAATCAACAGCTACTGTTTGGATCTAATTTGACCCTCTGAGGTCCAGCAGCTGGATTTCTGCCCCAGGGAGGCTCCTTACCTCTGTGTGGCTGCCTGAGCATAGGCTCCCCTCCTCCAGCCCACAGTGCTCCCCTCCACGTGCCATAACCAAGACACCAGCAAAGGGTTTGGGGATTTATTTCAGAACCAGAGAAGGCATCCAAGGGAGGTCACATCCCCTGGAGGCCACCCCGATCAGCAGTAGGGGTGCATTCCCAGTCAGGGAAGGTTCAGACCCTTCTGCTGGGCCTCTGAGCTGCCCCACCCCTACGGCTGGGATCTGTAACACCATGTTGCCCCACTGCAGGTTTTCCTGGTGCCCTTGGCTTCACCAACTCAGGTAGGAATGACTCTTCACCAAATAAGCATCTCCAGGAAGAAATTCAGAATACGGACACCCTGGACACCCTGCCTCTTCCCAGAGCCCAGGCTTTCCGTAATGTTCCTAAAAGGAGGGAACTGGTCCTACTCCAGCCAGGCACTGGAGGCAGCCCCACTCTGAGCCACAGAGTGCTCCTCCTATCCACAAGCATCTCCCAGGGCCCTCCTCCCCGTGCCCACTCCTAACTCGCAGCCTTCAGCATCACCTCCTCCCCCTGGAGCTACGCTGCCCATTCTGATTCTCGACATGAAGAGCTATAATCCACAAAAGCCCAAGGTGCTCTGGGAACAGGGCTGAGAGAGTGAGGGTGACCAGGAAAGGCCTCCCAAAAGAAGACATGCTTGCTGCACTGGCCCTGAAGGACCAATAGGAGCCATGCCAGGTGGAGAGAAGGTATAAGCAGGGCAGGGAGCGATGGAGATAATAAGTCGGTCTGGGGCACAGCAAGCAGTCCTGGGTGGCTGGAAGCCTGGGTGAGGGAGCAGCGGTGAGCAGGAGAGCTGCCGAGGGTGGGACTGGGGACTGATCCTGCAAGGCCTCCAAGCCATGCCTAGGAGGCAGGATTTTATCCCAAGCAGAGGAGAGCAAATGAAGATTCTGGAACTCAGGGAGTGCCAGGATCCAATCTGTATTGCACAATTATTTGTCTAACCTCTGGTTCTGTCTGTGTCTTCCCTCAGCCACAGGCTCCATGAAGGCAGGACGGGGTTTGTCACATTGATCGCCACCTCCCTGATGCCCAGCACCGAGGCTGGCCCATCCAGGCACTAGCAGAAATGTGCTGAATGAATGAACACGTGGCTGCAAAGTGAAGGATGGATACCATTGCCCTCTCCAGAGTAATAAAAGTAATGGCTAAAGCTATTGTTATTTATTGCCACATCCAGATCATGATTCCTCCCTCCTCTGTAAAAAAAAAAAGCCCCTGCTCCTTTTATGCTCAGTCCACTGGTCATCACCCTCTCCCCTTCCCACTGCTGACATCTCCCAGCTCTGGCCACTGCCCCTCAGGCACTGAAGACCAGGGTGCTGGCTCAGTCTCCCACTTGTACTCTGGGGTGGACCATGGCCCTGCGCAGACAATCAAACCCACCTTGGTCCTAAACCATCACAAACCTCTCTGAATTCCACATCTCCTTTGGCTCCTACCTCCCTCTTTCCCATCACCCAGAAAAACAGTAACAATATCAACAAAAGGAGCATTGTGGCAGGCACTGTTCTAAGCACTTTACATATCAACTCATTTCATCTTCACAACAATACTATGAACAAGGTTCTGTTACTATTCTCATTTTACTGATAAAAACTAAGCCACAGGGAGAGTAAATCATTTGCTCAAGGTTACAGAACTAATAAGTAGTGAAGCTGGGATCCTGGTAGTCTGACCCTTAGGGACCAGCTCATCACCACTCTCCCAGCTGGCTCCCTGGGAAAAAACCTTAAGCACCTGGTCTTAACCAAATCTCTACTGGCTCAGCTCCAAACCTGGACACATGGCTAACTCAGTATATCAACAGATCCAACACTGACCTCTTCCACCTGCTCCTCCTCAGGGACTGGCACCAGAGCCAGAACCTCAACTTATGCTGCCTCTGTCCACAACCATCCTAGGAGTCAGGTGCTATCGCTATCTCCATTTTACAGATGAGAAAACAAAAACACAGAGAGGGCAAGTCCCTTTCCCCAAGAAGACCTAGCCAGGAAGTGGCAGAGCCAGCATCCATCTCTGGTCCACCATGCCACACTGCCCCGCCTCCAGGACCTTGATCACGCTCCTCACTCCCAGCCCAGGACACTGATGCTCCATGTTTATGCTTTGCTAATGCCCACTCCACCTGCTGAGTCAGCTCACTGTCCACGTCCAGGAAGTCCTCCCTGATGCCCTTCCCAACCCCTTCTCGCCCTTCCCACCCCAAATCACCAGACTAGGTTAGATGCCCCTCCTCTGTGCTGTCACAGCATCGCCATCACCGTGCCCCTGCGCTTACCCACTACACCAAATGGGTCCATTAGGAACAGGTCGGAGACTGCTGTAACATGCAAGGCTAGCAGGGGCAAAGGCCTGAGCCAGAGCAGTGGGAGACAGGTAGGAGCAGGGAGGGAGATGATAAGGAGGAGAGAGTCACAACAATTTTGGTACATGTATCAAAAGCCTCAAAAACATGCAACTTTTGACTTAGTAATTCTACTTCTATGGAATAAAAATGTTTATCATACGGAAATACTCAGTAATACATCAAGCAGGTCATGGACATAAAGATAAGAGTTAAAATTATAAAACCCTTAGAAGAAAATCTAAGAGCAAATCTTTGTGACCTAGGATTAGGGAATGTTTCCTTAGTCATGATCAAAAGTACAAGGAATAAAAGAAAAAGTAGATAAATTGGGACTTCATTAAAATTGAAAACTTTTGTACATCAAAGGAGACCATCAAAAAGCGAAGAAACCCACAGAATGGGAGGAAATATTTGCAAATCACATATCTGATAAGGGGTTTGTATCCAGGGTATATTGAAAAAAACTTGTCACAATTCAACAATAAAAAGACAAATAACCCAAATGTAAAACGGGCAAAGGATCTGAATAGACATTTCTCCAAAGAAGATGTACAAATGGCCAATAAGAACATGAAAAGATGCTCAACATCACAGTCATCACGGAAATGAAAAAACCACAATGAGACAGCACATTATACCCACTCAGATGGCTATAATCAAAAAGTCAGATGATAACAAGTGTTGATGAGGATGTGGAGAATTCAGAACCCTCATACACTGCTGGTGAGTATGCCAAAAGTTGCAGCCACTTTGGAAAATAGTTTGGCAGTTCCTCAAAAAAAATTAAACATGGAACT